GAGCCACACCAATGAGATCGGGCATGCCTTTAATACGTTGAAGACCGCGCATGTTTTAGTTTTGTGGCCGCTTGGAACTTTGGTGGTTTTTGGGAAATCTAATCAAGCAAATTGGGAACGCAAATCTGTTGAACAGTTTTGAGGAAGTCTTTTTTGTCGAATGGGAAGGAAAGAAAAAAAGGGTAAACTGAAAATTCACTTCCAAAATATGGGTCGTAGGGTCCCACACAGACTGCAGCCCACACATGGGCTGCATGGGCTCCAATGTGCAAAGTGAGATAATACCAAATTTTCACTGTGTTCCTAATCGTTCTTTCATTTGGATATTTATATTGCGTTGTGAAGGTCGGCAAGTAAAGAGTTTATTTTGAGAACTCTCTAAATGCAGGCAAATGCGTCTAAATGTAGCGGTACTCCAGGTGGTCAGGGTGGTACCCTTACGGTTGTAGGTCATAACTGGAACAAGGTTGGACGTTGAATTAAGGATCGTATCCTTGTCGTCTTCTGAGCAGAACCTAAACGTACTCTATCAGTACTCTCCGTCTTCGCTTCAAATTACATTATTTCATTTGTTGTAGGCTTGCCTGTAGCCAGTGAGACGCTGATCTGGATGTGTTTTGATTTCAACGCCAGCGTAGATGCATCCATCGGTGGCAACACCTTTGGAGAAACTGACAAGTTTCACCTGCACCTTCTTGCCAGCCGGTGCCTTAAGAATTAATGGCTCAATAGACGTTATTTTCATTTAGCTATGGAGAACGAACCTTGATCCAATAGTTACATTTCATGAAGTCTTCGCGAGGTGATTCATCTGCTTCACCAAGTTGGTCTTTGAGTTGCTGCCACTTGCCGGTTGCAACCAATTCCTCACCGCATCCTTCCGGCTAAATCGGACTTTGTAAAATTTCAATAGTTTGTATACGATGATGAAAAATTCGTCTCATTTGGCCTACGCAATATTTTCGCAAAAGGCGCCAGGATCAGCACATTTCCCACAGAGACAGGTGTGATACGAAATGCCCAATCCAGGGATGTGTTGTGTTTTGAGTGCATGCTTGCTTTTTGATTCAGACATGTGGTGGCGGCTACTCTGCCTATCACACCATCTCCTCTTATTGATATTTTATAAGTCGGAAACTCACTCTTCTGTCACATTGCGGGCCACCGTATCCACCAGGACAGATGCACTTGTTGCAGTCACGAGGATTAGGGAATCCATGATTTTTACAAGACGACGGCTTATTTTTGCATACGTCTACAAGGTAGCTAATATAAATTTCTGTGTACTAACTCTTAACGAATTGCCTACCTGTGCAATTGTAGTGCTTGTTGATCATTAGCAAATCATAGTAGCCAATAAAAGGTGAACCGAGTGTTTCGGTGTAAAGAACGTCTTTTGGCACCATAGTGGGCTTGCCATTCATTGCAGCACTATAATAAAATGACGCATATCTTTAACTCCCTGAACTATTTTTCCTTGTTATTCTACCTGGTAGCTCCGTAATGCATAATGCTACCCCAGTCATACGTTAGGTCGTAGTTGTAATTGTTTTCGATTGTCTTCAAGACGAACTGGTCTGCCCATTCACGCTAAAATGGAAAAAATAACGACTGCAAAAATTTTATGACATCCACAAGAAATACCTTGATGTTAGCGACGTCGACCGTAATGAATTCGTCACGGTCATATCTAGAGTGCGTGTGGTAAAATCCGAGAGCATGGCCAATTTCGTGAGCAGCAGTTCCGACCTAAATCGCACAAAATTACGATCACTTTGCAAGAGGAAAAGATACATACCCTATGGCAAGAGGAAAAGCACAAGCCTCAGTCGTTAAGATTGTTACACACTCGCTCAGAAAATGGGAAGCACTGGCATCTTTTCTAGTGTAGAACTGACGCTAGATAATAAATTTATCAAGCGGTTGACCAGAGCCAAAATCGTTCACTCTATGGCGATCAGGATAGTATGCAGCTAGTCCGCTTAAGCTCATAAATTGTACCAGAGATTAGTTCCCCCGTCAACTCGCGGGGACCTTTGCTTCTGCTGTGCGCAAGCTTGTCGATTCATACGCTATGGTTCCCTTTGTCACCTGTGTACGACCAGAACTCCTGGAAGTGACGAAGTTACGAAGCACAATGGTACAAACGATTGATATAGAGGACACAATCATGATGTGACGGTAGATTTTTCGCTTCCCTTCCTCATCCTCCCTTCCTCTCTCCACTGCCCTCCAGCTGCCACTGCAGCACCATGTGGAATGAACGGAAGTGTGCTAAGCAGGTGTTTATATAGCCCTAAGAGTGTTATCACAACTATCCTGCTACAAAACATTGATATCTCAAATCCTGTAAGCTACCCGATTTGTTAGCGGTTTGTTTATCCCATGAGCTTCCTTCTCACTCACTTCATTTTGCGGACGGACACACATACATACACACACACACATACAGATACACAAACCGACACACAAAGTTAGCGCTTTATAAAATAGAAGGATTAAGGTCGTTTGTATGCCTTACGAATATTGATGGAGATTATGGTAGCTTTCGCTTTGCTAACAGCTCTTGGACTAAGAACAAAAATCTATGGCGTGTAGTAAAGGCATTACTTAAGCATGAGCTTTCTGAATCTTACCGTTTCGCAGCCTGGACCAAGTGAAAGGCTCTGAGTAGCACCAATTCTGCCGAAGAACGAGAAACACCCTTCCCCTTTGTAGACACGTACCGTGTCTCTTGCTGAAATTGACTAATATCCTCTGTTCTCTGCTCTTGTTATCTTATTGTTTCTTACCATATTTCTCTTCTCTGAGGTCGATGCATGTGTTGTTCATCCACAGCTCCGCCGCCTTTTTGAAGACACTTTTTATTTCTGGGGCTAAACACGGCTGTTCATGTCTTGCTATCTCGATATGGTCAATGATTGCTCCTATTCATGAGACTGACTTGAAAATTTACTGTCGAAGAAGTAGTTGAGTCCTTGATGCCATCTTTTGCCAGGGATACTCTGTTTCTTTCATGGCCTGTCGCTTGGAGCGGGTACCGTCGCTGATTTCGGCAATAATTTGGTCTTCTTGATCTCTGAATTTTTCATCTTTTTCAAGTCCGATAAGCAGTGCCCCAGACAGCACTTTTCCGGAGAGCGCAGTCTTTGGATCACCCTACTATAGAAGCGTACTCATCAGGGGAGAAAGAGAGAGTTGTTGATAACGTAATGGTATGATACGGTGGAGTCTTGGTAGGCTCGTGAGCTGTCATTGGTTTTATTCGATCTTTCTAAAGGGTTGCACAGCTCTTGACACAGTCTTCTTGCGTCTATTTCATGAAAGCAAAAGAGCAAATGAAATCTTTCAAAAAACCAACTTCGAAAGGATCATATCTCCTTGGAAAAGAGCACCGGCTATTTTGCTGTTTCTGTTGATCTCCTCAATTGAGTCTCCCATTGGTTGCACTTTGTCAATGGATTTTCTTTTAAAAAGCTGAATAGTTGAAGATTACCACCTAAAATGATAATTCTAATCGAACTCGAAACCTTAAGTCTTTCCAGGAGTGCCGCTCTTTGCTCCTTTGTCAACGCGAGCTTCTTCAATATTTTGTCCCTGAATCCGCTTAATCTGTTCTTGAAAGCAGCCATATCGTTTTTGAAGGCCTAGAAAGTTGGAAGCAATCATCAAAGTTGTGCTCCACGGTCATGTGGCGAACAACTTACCTCCTTAATGCGATCAGCAGCCTGCTCTATCTTGTCGATCACCTTCTCTTTAATAATGCCCTTGACGGTCCCAGCAGAGCTTCTGAGGTCGAGCAGACCTGCATTCACGCAAATGGCGAGAGCAAGGGTGAGGAGAACAAGAGCTCTCATCCTGAAATGGTGATGCAGAATTAGAGAGCTCAATTTGTAGCTAAGGTTGCTTTCAAGCAATGAAGTTAGTGAAAACTGTGGTTGGCTCGCTTGCACCGCTTTTATACTGTAACCTTTGACGTTGACGTTGACATAAAGGGATGTATTTGATGTTGGGACGTAATACTTAACAGTGATTCCAGCTGCTATTCCGCCCTCGTCATACCAGACGACAAATGGAATACTGTTTAGATACTGGACTTGCTGGTTAGCTCTGACTGTGTTATTGATTTCGGAAATAA